GGTGAGTTCGGCGAGGTGTGCCGCGGACGGCTGAGGATCCCGGGCAGGAAGGAGAACTACGTGGCCATCAAGACCCTGAAGGGCGGCTACACCGAGAAGCAGAGGCGGGACTTCCTGTCCGAGGCGTCCATCATGGGGCAGTTCCAGCACCCCAACATCATCCACCTGGAGGGCGTGATCACCACTTCCTGTCCCGTCATGATCCTGACGGAGTTCATGGAGAACGGAGCGCTGGACAGCTTCCTGAGGGTGAGACGGGGGGGACACATCCAGGCTGGTCCACCCTGGACCTGTGTGTCCATCTGTCCCTCTGAGTGTCCCTCTGTCCTCCTGCAGATGAACGACGGTCAGTTCACCCCCATCCAGCTGGTGGGGATGCTGCGCGGCATCGCTGCAGGGATGAAGTACCTGTCAGACATGAGCTTCGTTCACAGAGACCTGGCTGCGCGCAACATCCTGGTCAACTCCAACCTGGTCTGTAAGGTGAGGTCCTCTGACGTCCGTCCGTCTGTCCCTCCGTCCGTCTGTCCCTCCGTCCGTCCATCACGTCCCCTGGATCTGACCCTGCTCCTCTGATCTACCCTCTCAGGTCTCAGACTTCGGTCTCAGCAGGTTCCTGACGGAGAACTCCTCAGATCCGACCTACACCAGCTCTCTGGTGAGTCCACTTTGATTCTATCGGCCACGCTCTTATTTTGAAGGGCATTCCCTTCCTGTCTGCTGACGGTGTTTTCGTCTTTAGGGCGGGAAGATCCCCATCAGATGGACGGCGCCTGAAGCCATCGCCTACAGGTGAGTCATGAACCCAGTCTGATCGTTCTGGTTCTGGAGGAGATGGAAGCTAACTGACTGATTGATGGCAGGAAGTTCACCTCGGCCAGCGACGTCTGGAGTTACGGCATCGTCATGTGGGAAGTGATGTCATACGGAGAGCGGCCGTACTGGGACATGAGCAACCAGGACGTAAGGCGAACTCCTGCATATTAATTTCACTCTGATACCATCAGAATCAGAACACTGACTGTTAGCCAGGTTCTGTTAACCAGGTGCTGTTAGCCAAAATTTGGTTAGCAAAGTTTTGTTAGCCAAGTTAGGTTAGCGAATTTCGTTTAGTGAGGTTCTGTAAGCTAAGTTAATTAGCTAAGTTCTGTTAGCGAGTTTCTGTTAGCAAATTTCGACTAGCGAGTTTCTTTTCGCGAGGTTGTTTTAGCTATTTTGGTTAGCGAGTTTCTGTTAGCAAAGTTCAACCATCAAGGTTCAGTTATCGAGGTTCTGTTAGCTATGTTTAGTTATCCAGGTTCTGTTAGCTATGTTTGGTTAGCGAGGTTCTGTTAGCTACGTATGGTTAGCGAGGTTTTGTTAGCTATGTTTGGTTAGCGAGGTTCTGTTAGCTACGTATGGTTAGCGAGGTTTTGTTAGCTATGTTTGGTTATCGAGGTTCTGTTAGCTATGTTTTGTTAGCAAGGTTCTGTTCGCTAAGTACAATTAGCTTTGTACGGTTAGCGAGGTTCTGTTAGCTACGTATGGTTAGCAAGGTTTTGTTAGCTATGTTTGGTTATCGAGGTTCTGTTAGCTATGCTTGGTTAGCAAGGTTCTGTTAGCTATGTTTGGTTAGCAAGGTTCTGTTCGCTAAGTACAGTTAGCGTTGTACGGTTAGCGAGGTAAAGCTGCAAACAGACCCTCAGTCTGTCTCTCTGTGATGTCACTAATCACAGAAACAGGTCTGGTAAACTGGACCGGACCGGTTCTGACCCGGTTCTAACCCCATTCTGACCCTTCAGGTGATCAACGCCATCGAGCAGGACTACCGCCTGCCCCCGCCGCCGGAATGCCCCGCCTCCCTGCACGGCCTCATGCTGGACTGCTGGCAGAAGGAGCGGGCCAACCGGCCCCGGTTCTGTGACATCGTGGGGGGACTGGACCGGCTGATCCGGAACCCGCCCTCCCTGAAGGTGACGCTGCCGGAGCTGTCCAGGTGAGGACCGCTAGGGTGGAATGTTGTTCCTGGATCAGAGGACAGAGGGGGCGGGGCCTCACTGACAGATCCCAGGTTCTGGTCCTGGTTCTGTTGGGTTCCTCTGGCTGCTGATCCAGAACCAATGTTGACCTGTTTGGAGGTTCAGAACTTTGGCGCTTGCTAACGCTAACGTGTCTCTGTGTCCCAGTCCGTCCCAGCCCCTGCTGGACCAGCGGGTCCCCCCTCCTCTGTCGGCCTGCGGTTCCGTGTCCGAGTGGCTCCGGGCCATAAAGATGGAGCGCTACGAGCAGAACTTCCTGCAGGCCGGCTTCTCCAGCCTGGACCTGGTCTCCCAGCTCAACACAGAGTAAGGTTCTGCCTCCTGTGCCTGACAGTCAGCGCTCAGGGTCCACCTGCTGACCCCGCCTCTCTCTGTTTCCATAGAGACCTGCTCAGAGTGGGCGTCACCCTGGCAGGACACCAGAAGAAGATCCTCTCCTCCATCCAGACTCTCAGGATACACAAGGCCACGCCCACTCTGCTCTACTGACCAATCACAGCCCTCCGCCTATGCCAAAGCTACAGCCGACCCGACTGACACAGAACCAAAGTTCTGCTCTGAGCAGCAGGGAGTTCAGAACGAACCAGAACCTCAGGAGTGGACCGTCGGCTCTGGAGACTCCGCCCACCTGCTCTTTACGACCAATCAGAGCCAATCAAGCTTAAACAGAGGACCGTTTTTAACCAATCAGCTCCTCAGGAAGCCTCCAAGCTCCTCCCACCTCCTTCTGATTGGACGTTTTTAGACTGAGGATCAGTGCTCCAAAGACCCGCCCCCTCAATGGATGCCGTGCTCTGATTGGCTGCTTGTTTCAGCTTGAGGTCTTTGAACCGCTAACAGAAGCTCTGCAGGTTCTGCTTTCCAGAAGGTTCTGCTCAGGAGGGGAGACCTTCTGGATCCATGTCTCCGTGGTTCTGCTTCCCTGGAGTTTTCTGGACCGGATCCTACGGACCTGAAGTTCTGCCGGTTCTGATGGACCTACAGATGCCTTTAAATGGACCTTTGGTCTGATCTCATGACTGAAGTCAGAACTGTTGACAGGGTTCTGATCCAGGTGCTGCCCCGCCATCTGGACCTGAACCAGGGTGGATCAACGTTAATGTTTTTGGACCCGTTCAGAACCACCAGAACCAGCTGGACCGCTGCTGGTTTTATTCAAGCACTTTCTACCAGAAGACAGACCATGATACCAGGTGGTTCCGGTACCAGGTGGTTCTGGTACCAGGTGGTTCTGGTGCCAGGTGGTTCTGGTGCCAGGTGGTTCCGGTACCAGGTGGTTCCGGTGCCAGGTGGTTCTGGTGCCAGGTGGTTCCGGTGCCAGGTGGTTCTGGTGCCAGTCGCTCCAGGATGCGGAGCAGCAAAGTTCTGTACCGACCCGTTTGTGTTTTTTATATCAAAATAAACAATCTTCTAAAGATGGTTCTGATGTTTCTGAATTTGTTCTGTTCTGACCCGGTAGAACCAGAACCAGCACCAGGTTTTGTCTTTCCTGCTGTCCAGTTCCTGATGTAGAAGGTCACAGGTCCGAGTGCTGATGAACCAGAACCAAAGGTTCCTGAATGAGTTACCCTCCAGAACCAGGCTGGGTTTGGTTCTGACCCGCTCAGCCTGGCAGCAGAACCGACATTGGATCAGAACCCTGCTTCTATCTGTTCCACAGTGATGGTTCTGTGACTGGGTTCTGCTGGTTCTGATCCATTAACACCTGCAGGTAGAGCAGAACCTTTTAGTCCTCTATTCTGGAACCGGTTCTAAGCCTCTGAGGTCCAAACCCAGCCTGGTTCTGAAGCCTGAAAATAGCTGCTGACTAATGATCAAAGCGCAGTTCTGACCCATGTGTGATGGTTCTGATCCAGATAGTTCTGACCCAGATGGTTCTGACCCAGATGGTACTGACCCAGATGGTTCTGACCCAGATGGTA